CTACCTACCCACCTACCTACCTACCTTACCTACCTACCCACCTACCTACCTCACCTACCCACCTACCTACCTACCTCACCTACCTATTTACCTCACCTACCTACCCACCTACCTACCCACCTACCTACCTCACTCACCTAACCACCTACCTACCTCACCTACCTACCTACCTACCTACCCACCTACCTACTCACCTACCTACCTACCCACCTACCTACCCACCCAGCTATCCACCTACCTATCCACCTATCCACCTCCCCTCCTACCCACTTACCTACTTACATCTACATCCCCCTTCCCTCCCTGTCTGTCTACCTAACCTGCCTACCTACCTATACCTACTTATCTACCCCCCTATCTGTCTATTGAGGGGTGATAATGTCAAAAGATCGTCCTCTCTGAATTTGAGTTTTGAGTGGGGGTCTTACTCCATGTATGTATGCTATGTCAAAGTACGGTCTACTGTCACACAGAACTAAAAGGAGCAAGTGAAATCAAAAAGGAAAGACGTAGGCTTCCTTCGCAGCTGCCTCCTTCCCCGAGCCGAATTCCGACTAGAGTGGAAGTCCTGCGAGGCATCCTCCCAGCGCTCCCCGTGTTCACAGTCCTTTTCAGACCAAGGCCTGCCGGGCACAGGGGCAATGCCGATCACTCCGTGCTGGGGGTGTTCTAAGGGCAGTGATGAGCTGGGTGGAGAATGGCCCACTCAGCTGGTGACAGGGCCCTGGGAGCTGACCAGTTTTAGAGGAGGCCAGATGTCAGGACCCAGCTCGCACCCTGCCCCAGGAGGGAGGCTCCCGGCCTGGTGCCCCTGGGGGCGCGTTCCTGCACTCAGGGCCCTGAGGCCACTCACACCCTTGCCTGCCCCGCTGAACCTTGGAGCAGAGGACAGGCGGCTGGTCCAGGCGCCCAGCACACAGTGGCCCCACACTCTGGTGAGGAGGACTGTCTCACCACCAGCAGGAGGGGACATGGGACCGAGGCCGCGTTCCTTCTCAGAGGAGCAGGCTTTCAGCCTGGCCCTGGCTGCGGGGGGCGCGGGGGTGCATGCCCTCGGAGCCTGGGAGGCTGCTCCCGGGCTGGGATGCAGAGAAGACCTGGACGGTGGGTCTGGGAGGGAAGTCGTACAGATCAGTACTCGGGGAGCAGGTCGGGACAGGCACAGGGACAGGTGGGGAGGCCGTGGCCTTGCAGATAGGACAGGAAGCATTTAAAGCTAAATCCCACTTTTTACACCTAAAAATATAAAGCTGTCAATTTTCATTAAGGATGAAGCAAATGAAATCTAGATGGTGCCAAATAATTAATGACTTTTAATAACCCTAATAAATTTGGATTTCATCAAAACCATGTTGCCTCTCACCGCCGACGGCCAGGAGGAGTGGGGACCTGGGGGCAGCGCCTGGGAGACGGGGTGCAGCTGACATCCTTCCAGGCCCATCCATCATCATTAAAGAGAGATAAGGACGGCGGGATGGACTGCCTGGCACTTGGACACGAGGCCTTTGCATTGAAAATTGAAGCCGTTAATTGTAACTGCTGTACTTTTGTGATCCCGCAGGTAGTGCACAGACTAACTCATGGCTCTGGCAACCACGCAGGTCTTTGTTCATTAAACCTTGACTGATTTCACACAGAGGAGGCTGCGTGGGTATGCCCCAAGCCCCACTGAATCAGGGTCATGTGGTCATCTTGTTCCAGACGGGGACCAAGAGAGACTGCATCCGGAGTTCTGGACCAGACCGGTGGGCGGATGGGAGGCAGGTCCTCGGGCCACACACACCACCGTGTCCAGCCTCGGGAAGCCTCTGGCCCCCCCTCATCTGCCTGCCGGTGATCCTTTACTTTAAAGCATGTTTTTCAACGTCCCTTACACTGTGTGGCTGTTCCAGGTGGCAGTCCCTGGGGTGCCTCAGTTCTGACCCGGGCCTGCAGGCCAGTGGGAGAGGTGAGGAGTGGTCTCCGTCTGTCTGGAGGTAAAGATGGGGTCTGGAGAGAGATCTGCAGGCCGCTGCTGCGGGTCAGAGAAGGCAGGGCCTGGTGGCGCAGCGGCCCCAGCACTCCTGGCCCTGGCCCTGGCCCTGGGGGAGGGGGGGCAGGGTCCTGAGAACCACAAGGCCAGGGCCTGACCAGGGGTGGCCAGGGCCGGGGATTCATGCTGAGAACGTGCCAGTCTCTCTCCGAAGCAGAGCCACTATCAGACTTGCATGCTGGGACACGGGGGTACTTGGGACAGCAGGAACAGCGGGCAGCAGCCACCCAGGACGCAGTCTGAGGCCACAGGATGCTGCAGGTCAAGGGCAGAGGGAGAGGTTAGCACGGAGGAGAAGGGGAGCTGCCCTCTCTGCACAGGAGCCCAAGCCAAGGTGAGCCCACAGGGTGACAGGACGGGAAGAGGCCTTCAGAGGCCGGGGGCTTTCCATGCTCTGGGGATCTTGGGGCCCACAGCTGTGGGCAGCAGCGTCTGGAGCCAGGAAAGAAGCTCACCTGGTGGGCGGGCGGGAGCTATGCCATCTAGGGACGGAGGGGTGGGTGACATTCCCCAGGAAGGAGAAGGGTGGGGAACGCTGTGACGCAGCTGTGCCTAAGCGCCTCTCACCCAGCCAGGGAGGTAACTCAAATCAGTGCGAGGACGGCCTCCCACAACCTCCTTTTGCTCTCCCTTGACACACACCAGACACCCGGCATGGACACTGGCCTTGTGCAGAAGGGCCAGCTCTTCTTGCTGGCATCTCCCTGCCACCACACGTTCACCGAGCACCCATTAGATGCCAGATGAGACGCAGCTGCCCGCAAGGGAGGCTGATCTCACAGCCTCCGCCTGGCTGACCTCCGCCTGGCTGGCCTCCGCCTCAGCCCTCCTGGGGCGCGTCACAGTCTTGCCTGCCATGCTCCACTCACAGGCACATGTCTGCCCCCAGCCCTCCTGGCCAGTCTCGGGCTCCCTCTGTCCCTCTTTGGGCTTCTCTCCCCAGGATCCTCAGGGCATCTGTCCACCCTCTAACTTGGGTTGTGGCTTGGGGCGTGTCAGCGCTTTCCCCACCCTTCTCCAGGTCCAGGGCTTGTCCATGCAGAGGCCTGTCTGGCCACTGCCCCGAAGACCCAGTCGTCGCCCCCGACCTGGGGATGCTGCCCCCCTTAACCTTCATTGGATGGGATTTTCCCCAGAATATTCTGTTCCCCAATAAAAGTCCACTCCCTGGCGTGTTCTCTCTCTCTCTCTCTCTCTCTCTCTCTCTCTCTCTCTCTCTCTCTCTTGCCTCTTCAGTAAACCTCACTACCACGTTGGGTCTCTTGAGGCTGGAGCTGGGAGGAGCCGTCCTGGAGCTGGTTTTACAGGTGAGGAGAGTCTGGTCTCACCACTCGAACCTTCTTTCATGAAGCCAGGCGGGTCCCGGGCTAAGGGATGCGGAGGTCTGTACCGTGTGCTCCCTGACCGTGTCTTGGGTTTGCCACCTGAGGGGGTGTTATCAGGATTGTTTAAACTTGAGGAGGTTACTGGCTGTGGTTCTGTAACTCCCTTTTTTAAAAAAAATACATTTAATTTGTTGCTGAACCTTTATTTTATTCATTTATTTGTATGTGGTGCTGAGACTCGAACCCAGGGCCTCACCCGTGCCAGGCAACCGCTCTGCCACTGCGCCCCCGCCCAGCCCCGTAACTCCCCGTGGATGACAGTGTTTGGGGTCCTTTCTCCCAAGCACACGTGGGTTTTCTTTCCTTCCACCCAGCACCCTGTGGCGTGTGCACATGCGTGTAGGAATCATGCCTACCTGTGCATGTGTGTACACGCGTGTCCCTCACACCGTGTGAGTGTCCACACGACTTTAAGCCAGCCCTCTGACCATGGTCTGGGCCACAGAGGCTGCGGGGAATGTCTGTCCCCTGTCACTGTGCGGGTGTCCAGCCGGCCTCCTGCCCCCTTCACGTGGACCAGGCCCCGCACTCCTCCCTCCTGTGCCCAGTGCTCCCTCTCAGCGGTGCCCACACCCCCCATGCCCTCTGACGTGACCCCAGACCAGCAGGGGTCAGCCTGACTGCTTCATGCACCTTCCACAACATGGTGTACTCCTGGACAGCACACAGTAGGTGCTCAGAACTGCCTTGCTCAGTGATCTGAGCTGAATGGTTCCGTTCTTGGTCCCAAAGACCCTGGGGATATTTTTGGTGGACACTTGTATGGAACCTGCAGAGTGCGGTGGGTGGAACTGGTACTGCCTCCTGACTGGGCTCAGAGTCTGCACTGACGCATCCCTGGTGGGTCCCTGGCTGCAGCTCTGCTCCGGCGACGCTTGGTTCTGCCTCCCCCACCCCTCCTCCTTTTTCACTACGACAGTCTCCCAGTACTTTCAGTCAAGTCGACACTTGGGGTCGCAGCCTAGTGGCCCCAAGAATGTCCACACTGTGATGTGCCCCCTGACCCCTGCATGTTGGTGATAAGGACCTCGGTGGGGACTCTCCTGGATTCCCAAGGAGGCCGGGCTTGAGGAGGCAGAGCAGAGGAGGGAGAGAGGGGCTTGCAGGGAGAAGACGGGGAGCCAGGGCTGCGGGCCTGCAGAGCCGGACACCCAGGGGACAGGCTGTCCCTGCCGCCTCCCGAGGGCGCTGGCCTGCGACACCCTGGCCTGAGCTCTGGCAGGCTTCGGGCCCCGCGGAGCAGGTTCGACAGATGGAGAAGGTTTCCAGAATCCCTGGTCGTGGGGACCCGGTGACTCGCTGCTTTGGGAGCCGAGAGCCCATGGAGGGCAGGGACGCCTGGGCCCCTGCTGCTTCCTGCTGGGTCACCTCTCCCCAGCAGGGTGGCCAGGGCACCCTGGGGGCCTCATCAGCTCCTGCAGCTCATTCCATCATCGCCTGAGACTCCCCAGAAGAGCGAGTGGGGACTGAGGCCCCACACATCAGAACCCACCGCTTAAAGTGACCGGACCTTGTGGCACTAGAGACGGGACACCCTCTGCCTTGGGACCCTAACAGTGTACACTGTGTCTTCCACTTACCTCAGGACAACTCGATATCCTCCCATCGCCCCATGTGGTTCTCACCCGTGAGCCACAGTGGCCACGTCTACCTCATCCTGAGAACGTCCCCCAGGTGGGTCCAAGGCTCGGACTTCCTCCGAAGGCTCCGGCTTCTCGGGCCTGCGTGGGCCCCGCCGGTGCACAGGTGTCCTGCTGCAGGACCCCCACAGGCTGAGGTGACAAGCCTCCGACGTGGGCTGCCTCGGGACAAAGCCTGTGGACATGTCCTGTGGCAGGACTGGACAACGTGCCCGCCGCGCCGAGGTGAGGACGGAGAGGACACTGGGCCGCGCCAAGGTGGGGACGGAGAGGACACTGACGCAGCGATGGCCAGACCACAGGGAAGCAGAGGCTCGGGGCAGAGGCGTGCCCGCTGTGAGCGCCGGCACTTTCTGGCCCTTGTCCTGCTTTGGTGATTTCTTCTCTGGACGCACAGAATCCTGGCTGACGGTGGCCTCAGCCGGGCCCGGGGACGGCAGTGGCCCCTTCTGGATTTCATTTCCTCTCACAGGCAGAGTTGTTTTATGGGTTTTGTGAAGGTGTGATTTATGCTTTGAGACTCCTGGAAAAGCTCGTGCCTTTTAAAAATAATTTCTGAAAATGAATTTCTTTTTAGGGTCAGTGACATTATCAAAAGCCCAGGAGGACTCGCGCCTTGCCAAGGACAGCTCGGGGATTCCTTCTTCCATCAGAATCCGCTGATCCTTCCACAATACTTAAAAAATGAGTAGCTACATGAAAACTGGGCACCTGTGCCCAGTAAGTAGCCCAGTCCTGAGCTGCAGTAGGCCAGCAGTAGGTGTTGGTTGACCGAGTTTCAGGGGTCTACAAATGTTTCTCCAGTCGGAAGGAGGGGCCTGGGCTGCTTGCCGTCCAGTCCTCGTGCCTCCCCTGAGGCGTCTGCTCGGCACCAAGGCTTCTGTTCCAGCCTCCCTCTCAGGACCTCGGAGCACCTCACGGAAGCCATGGGTTAGAGTTTCCCCTTGTTCCACTTTGAATGACCCTTTCTTCCTAGCAGCAGTCTAAAAGGATCTAGGGCCAGTTGGTCAGGCTCAGAATGCCTCAGGCTCACCACCGCCCAGCCAGGCTGGGAGGGTAGAAGGAAACAGAAAGGGAACAGCCCGTAAACAGGCACTGTTATTACAAGTCAATAAAATAAATAAGCAGGCCCAGTGTTGTGCCCACTCCTGAAATCCCAGTGACTCAGGAGGCGGAGGCAGGAGGATTGCAACCTCAAGGCCACCTGGACAATTTAGAAATGCTCTATCTCAAAACAGAAAAAAAAAAAAGAACGGAGAATGTAGCTCCAGAGAAGTACAGTACTCAATAGAGGGCTCGGTAGAAGAGTGCTCAGTAGTAGGGGGCTCAGTACTGGAGGGCTCAGTAGTAGAGGGCTCAGTGGTAGAGTACTCAATAGAGAGCTCAGTAGTAGAGGGCTCAGTATAGAGGGCTCAGTAGAAGAGGGCTCAGTGGTACAGTGCTCAGGAGTAGAGTGCTCAGTAGTACAGTACTCAATAGAGAGCTCAGTAGTAGAGTGCTCAGTAGTACAGTACTCAATAGAGAGCTCAGTAGTAGAGGGCTCAGTAGTAGAGGGC